TCCCAATCCCGTTCCGTTCCCTCCGCTCCAAATCCCGTTCCATTCCCATCCCAAACCCGCTCCAATCCCGTCCCGTTCCCACCCCGATCCCGCTCCGTTCCCATCCCACCCCTCCACCCCTCATGCCTTTGTTTGTTTCCCAGTGACACGGCACATTAGAGAGCTCCTGGAAAGGAACACAAAGAAGAAACCCAAATTGAGAAAGAAACCCAAGCCCCACCCCGAGGAGCACGATGGTAGGGGCAGTGCCGCCGCTCGCTCTGGGCCCTCTCCGGCCTCATAGAATCGCTGCTGCTTCCCGGCTCTCTCCTGCTCCCATCTCCCAGGGCTCTGCTCAGAGGGCTGCGGCTAATTAACCGGCTCTCTTAATTGGGGTCGGAGGTGATGGGCAGCGGCGCTGCCCGCTGATGGCTGAGCGGCGTTGATGTCAGATTAGCGCTCATCGGTGGTGGTCGGACACGAGAAGGAGAAGGGATCCTCAGTGACAGTCAGCCCCAGATAATTATTTCTGATCTTTGTTAATGGCTGATCAACTGATGATCTTAATTAATGGTTGGATTTCGTGACCAGTTGGCGATCTCCGTTAACCGCTGATCAACCGATGATTTTAATTGACGGTCGGATGATCAGTTGATGGCCTTCATCGGTGGTGATCGGTCAGGGATCTTCACTGAAGATCAATTAGTGATCTTTCTTGATGCTTGGACTCGATTGAGGATCTTAATTGACACTGGATGCATTGATGATCTTTACTGATGGTTGGGCTAGATCAATTAGTGATCTTCATTGACGGTGGGACTTGAATATCAATTAGTGATCTTTGTTGATGGTTGGACTTGATGACCAACCAGTGATTTTCATTGACAGTTGACCAACAGATTGTCTTAATTAATGGCTGGAATTGATGGCCCATTGATGATGTTCGTTGATAATGAGTAGGTGATGATCGTCACTGATCAGTTGATGATCTTAATTGATGGTTGGACTTGCTAACCGGTTGGCAACCTCCATTAATCACTGATGAGCTGATGTTCTTAATTGATGGTCGGACTTCTTGACAGTTGGCTGTCTCCATCGGTCATTGATCAACTGATGATCTTCATTGATGGTCGGACTTGATGACCGATTGATCATCTTATTTGATGGTTAATTAATCAGTGATCTTCATAATGGTTGCACTTGATGATGTATTGGTTCTCTTTGTTGGCAGACTTGATAATTAATCGATGATTTCCAGTGGCTGTTGGTCTTAATTGACGGTTGGACTTGATGACCTATCGGTGATCTTAATTGACGGTTGGACTTGATGCCCAGTTGATGGCCTTCGTCAATGGTTGATCAATTGCTGGTCTTAATTGTCAGTTGGACTTGAAGATCAATTAGTGCTCTTCGTTGTCAGTCGGACTTGATAATGAATAGATCCTCACTGATAGCTGCACTTGCTGATCAGTTGCTAATTTTTATTGACAGTTGATCAACTGCTGATCTGAACAGAAGGCTGGACTTGATCGACTGATTATCTTAATTGAGACTGATGATCTTAAGGATCATTTCCACGCTTAATGATCCTGTGATCCTAATGGTGAATGCAGAGGGGGCAGAGCCGTGGCCCTCAGTGCAGAGCCCCCACTTTGCTTCCCGCTTTGCACTAATATAGAATAAAACCTTTAAAATATCGTTAAAAATAGCTTAAAAATATTGTAAAAAAAATCAACTAATGAATAACCCAGGCAGTAATAAATGACATCTACCACAATCCATGGCCTCTAAAATAACGAAAGGTGCACACAGCGATGAACGATCCGTAAGGTAATAAATAGGTGATCTCTAGAATAAGAAATGCTATAAAGGGTTATAAATGACATCTAAAATAATGAACGGTGCGTAAAATGAATAAAATCAAACAAAATAATAGCTGAACATTAAAAACCTGAAAGAAATGAATGGGTTTTGCCCAGAGGAGGCAGCACAGCGCTTCCCCCCAGCCTCATCTGCGCTGACCCTCAGTTCAGTCCCCAGGCCTGAGAGCTGGGGCCGCTGCAGAGCATCCATCCGCATTCGGTCCCTCGTTAATAACAGCTCATTAATTAGCGCCCACTGAAGCATTGGGTCGGGTGCTGGAGTTCCCAGAGTTGGTTGTCACCTTTCTTTCTTCCCTGCCCCCCTTCCTGGCCATGGGGGACGGTTTGAAAGGATCCCATTGATTTTCCTCCTGGATCAGGGAAGGTTTGGGGCCCTGATGTGCATCGCCACGCGCTGCCAGGACTCTTCCAATCGATGGGGATCAAAGGTGGGGGTAGAAACAGATGGATCCAGATTTTCAGAGCTGTATGGAAACTGAACGTTCTGTCCCAGAGTTTTCTGTCTCCAAAGTGGGGCCATCCCTTCCCATTGCTCCACGTCTGCATCGCTGCGAATTGAAGGGAGAAGGTGGAGGTGGCACCTCCATAGAGCCACCACTGCCGGGGACACCCAGGATGGGCAGGGATGTCCCCACCGAGGGTCCTCTCACCCCACAGCCCCACAGAGCCCTCCTGACCACGCTCCGCTCTGTCTTCCAGGGGTGGCCATCAGCACATATGCCAAGTACTGCTACAACAAGCTGCAGAAGGCCGCCCTCACTGGAGCCAAGAAGGTATGCGTGGCCCCCTGCGTCCCACCGTGCCCTCCACATCCATCCCTTCTGTGTCCCACCACGCTCACATCCTCCACATCCATCCCTTCTGTGTCCCACCACGCTCACATCCTCCACATCCATCCCTTCTGTGTCCCACCACGCTCACATCCTCCACATCCATCCCTTCTGTG